GGCCCTGGGCCCGTGGTAGAGCATGTGGCCAGCATGCAGGAGGCCCTGGGCCCGTGGTAGAGCATGTGGCCAGCATGCAGGAGGCCCTGGGCCCGAGCCCAGCAGTACAGATCCCAGGCACAGTAGCACACACCTGTCATCTCAGCACTAAGGAGGTCATCCTTAGCTACATGGTCAGTTCAGGGCCAGCCTGGGCTACATGAGACCCTGTCTCTAAAATAAATAAGTCTGTTATAAAAGAGGAAACTCACCTGGTCACTCCTACCACTTTTGATATTCTGAGAGCCACAGGTGGCTGCTGGCCAGTGCATAATGTCAGTGGTGATCATAGTGGGAATCTGCTTCCAGAACATTCCCCCATGCCAGAATACCTGGCAATGGGGCTACTTTAGACAGCCCTTTCCCTCCACTTCTGAGAGACTCTGAGCCCATGGGTACCACCCCCTGCCCCCCCCCCCCCCCCACACACACACAGAGGCCTCACTGGCTCCCCTGTCTCCTCCAGGCCTAACCGCCTGCTCATCCTCCATGGCTTCCTGGATGAGAATGTCCACTTTTTCCACACAAACTTCCTTGTGTCCCAGCTGATCCGGGCAGGGAAGCCATACCAGCTCCAGGTGAGTATGGGGTCCAAGTCCCAGGCGTCACCCTCCGCTCCTGTCTACTTCAGGGTCCTGTGTTCAGTCACGTCCTTATTGCCAGCCTGGGCCAACAACCACCACATCCTAGGTCCTCAGTGATTACACCAGAGACCCCTGCTTTGAAGAATCCGCTTGGCTAGAGGCATGGGGGGGACCCCAGAGGACCCCTGAGGGAGGGGACATTTAATCCCCAGCCCCTGGTCAGCCTTGGGGGTGAGGGTGGTGGGGGCCGGCTGGGCAGAGCCTTGATGCCAGGGGTAGGGCTTGCTGCAGAGGCGGGGCTTCCGCGGTGAGGTGGGGAGCGGACCTCAGGGGTGCCGCTGCCTGGAGGATGTCCTGTGGAAATGGGGAGACTCAGGGCGGCACTGCCACACAGAACAGGGGCAGGCCCCCTCCTCAGGAGGTGTGCCTCAGACTGAGAGGAGCCCAGTGGGCTTTCACGCGGTCCAGCATCGCCTGTGGGTGGCGGCTGTGGGTCTGAGAAAGCCCTGGACATGGTGGCGCAGTGGTCACCAACGCCCCAGCCCTGACCGGCAGAGCAGGGTCCCCGCGGGGGCCTGTCTGCAGTCATGCCCGCTTTGCAGATCTACCCCAACGAGAGACACAGCATCCGCTGCCCCGAGTCCGGGGAGCACTACGAGGTGACGTTGCTGCACTTCCTGCAAGAGCACCTGTGACCTGTGACCTCCGACCTCTGCCCCGATGCCGCCGCCGCCGCTTTTCTTGCGTGTTTGTAATCTTTTAGTTTTGGAAGCTTTCGATTTGTTTGCTTGCTGCTGCTTGGGGGCCAGGACAGAGGCGGTGGCGGCCCCCATGCTGCCCTCCTCGGGCTCGTCAGGAGAAGACCACCACCGGGCCCACAGCCACCATGGGGGCTGCCACGGCCCCACACTTGCAGCACCATCCCAGCTCAGAAGCATGTGCCGCCCCGCCGACCCCTCCCCCTGCAGAGTCGTGTGTGTTTGGGGAGCATTTTAAATAATTATTTAAAAGACAGGAAGCAAGCGGTACCAAAATACAACATTGGAGGTACGGCACTGGGCGGCTGGGGACACCACGCCCTCCTGACGCCCAGACTATGTGGAGCTGCCAAGCGCGTGTCGGGGCGTCCTCTGCGTCCTGCCTGTCCCTGCCCAACTCCTCCTCATGCACCACCCGGGGGTGCCAGGGTCGGGAGTAGGACCCATCCTGACCTCAGGGTTGCATCCCTTCCCTGCCCCCCTCCCACCAGAGTTCGGGCATAAAGAAGTAAAAAAAAGAAAAAAAAAAAAGGAAAAAAAAAAAAAAGGAAAAAAAAACAAACAGAAACCACCTCTACATATTATGGAAAGAAAATATTTTTGTCAATTCTTATTCTTTTATAATTATGTGGTATGTAGCCTCATTAAACGATTCCAGATGGAAATGGCGCTGTGTGAGGCTCCTTCTCAAGCCGTGTTGGCCTGAGGGATTGGGTGGGGGGGCTCTGTGGGACGGGGTGGGAGGTGCTGGCCTGGAAGAGAGGTATGAGACACATGGACATGGGACCAGGACAAGATGGGGTGGGGGTGTCACTGGGGTGCATTAAAGATGCCCCATATGGGCTCCGTCCCAGGCTTCGGAAGGTGGAGGCCACAGGGTCAGGAGTTGAAGGTCATCCCTGGGTACTTGAAACCCTGTCTCAAAAACATTTCTTAATCACTGAAATTATTCTTTAAAGATGTGTTATTTTTAGTTATGTGTGTATTTGCATGGGTATGCATGTGTGCCTGTCAGTGGGTATGGGCACATGAGTATGGATGTCTCCATAAGCCAGAGGAGTTGGATTCCCATGGAGCTGGGTGTGAGCCTCACCCACGGTGAGGGTGTGTGGAACTAAATTTGAGGCCTCTGGAAGAGCAGCCTGCTCCTAACTGTGAGCCTTCTCCAGCCTTCCAAGTATTGAAATTATAAAGGCCGGTCATGATGGCTGTCCCAGCACTCAGGAGGCAGAGGCAGACATCTCTGTGAGTTCGAGGCCAGCCTGGTCTACAGAGCCAGATCCAGGAGAGGCACCAAAACTGCACAGAGAAACCCTATCTCGAAAAACCAAAACAATAACAACAAAAAGACCCCAAGTGGGAGCAGGCAGTGTGTCTGTCCTAATAACACCTGCAGGGTCCGGTAAGCAAATGGCCACTTCAGGCCATAAACCTGCAGTTCAGCCAGACCACAGAACTGGGGCTGTGTCTCAGAGGCTAGGACAATCACCCAGCACACAAGACCCCCAGCTTCCATTCCCAGCACCAGTGAAAACTGTCATCCCAGCACTGGGGAGGTGGAGGCAGGAGAATCAGGAGTTCAAAGCCATCCTTCCCTTCAAATGGAGTCGGAGGCCAGCCTGGGATCAATGAGCCATCTGAACGATATAATAAAAATGTTTCTTTTTGCCTGCATGTACGTGTCTGTACATCACATGCGTGCCCGTTGCCTGCAGAGACCAGAAGAGGGCGTCGGACCCCCTGGCACTGAGTTACAAGAGGTTGTGAGCCACCATGTGGGTGCTGGAGCTCAAACCTGGGGCTTCGGCAAGAGCAGCCGGTGCTCTTAATTGCTGAGCCATCTCTCCAAACTCCACAAAAAAAATTCCTAAATGAAACAATAAACTAAAGTAAAATTAGTTACAAAACGAAAAGTAATCAAAATTTTTAAAAATTAAAAGTGAAGCCATATTAAAGATAATTTTTCTTTTTTGGAGCTGAGGACCGAACCCAGGGCCTTGGGCTTGCTAGGCAAGCGCTCTACCACTGAGCTAAATCTCCAGCGCCTTAAAGATAATTTAACAAAATAAAACTGCCATGCTGCCCGAAAGATGGAGACCTGGCGTCCATTTAAATGAGATATAAATATAAAAACACCGGAATACCTTTTTCACCCTAATTACAATTGATGTCAGGCATTTTGATTTGGGGACCCCGGACCGAAGAGGGGTGGGAGAGTATCGGAGGGGGCGGGGGTGGGGGGAGCAAAAGCTATAAGGGACCTCTGACCCCGGCAGCGCAGAGACGAATCAGCGGGCGCCAATCAGAGGCGCTGTCACGCCCCACTTGCCAAGACGTGCCCCGCCCCAACATGGCGGCCGGAGCGTCACTGCCTCGCGCCGACGTGGGCCGCGCCGGCCGCTCCACGTGTCCCTCGCCGCGCCCCGTCCGCGGGCGCCTGCGCATTGGCCCGGAACCAAGATGGCGGCGCCCAGAGGAGCCTCCTGGGCCGCCCTGCTCCTGGCGGCCGGGGCGCTGACGCTGGCGGCCGCTGTGTCCGAGCCCACCACCGTGCCGTTCGACGTGAGGCCCGGAGGCGTCGTACATTCCTTCTCCCAGGACGTGGGGCCCGGGGTAAGTGCCGAGACCGCCGGCGCTGGGCGGAGCCGGGCGAGGGAGCGGGTCGCCGCGGAAACCCGGTCAGAGGGGCGGGGCTGCGCGAAGACTGACAGTTCGGAGGGGCGTGGCCGCCAGCTCGTCGATCACTTCCCCTGTCCATCACACTCCAGAGGAGGGGAAGTGTCTGAGCAGAGCAGCGGCGGCTCTCCGCACGCTGCGCTGTGTAGGTCCCGCGAGGGTTGAGCTCGGACCGCAGAGGAAGCACCCCAGGCCTCACTCGGGTCTGGCCACTCTCCTTCCACGGCCGTGAAGCCAGCGGTCCGCCTCATTGTGGGCTCCCCAACTTCCCTGTGACATCTCCTGGGAACATTCTTACGGCCCAGGGCGTCCTGGCAGGCCTGGCAGAGGCTTGTGCGTGTCAGGGGCTCCCAGGTTCCGAACCCAAAGTTCTAAAGGAGGAGGGGCTGCTGAAGGCCATGTGACCGTCCCAGGAAACCCACCCCGGGGATTGTGCGAAGGTCTGTGCTCCTGGGAGGAAAGGAGTCGGATGGCCACTGGAGGGCGTCCTGGAGCCTTTCTTTTCCTTTTATATGGTACTGGGATGGAACCTAGGCGAGTGGTCTACCCCAGCTCCAGCCCCTCACCGGGGAGTCTAGGCGGGGCTCCACCCTGGCCACGCCCCCAGCCCCTCACTGGGGATTCTGGGCGGGGCTCCACCCTGACCACGCCCCCAGCCCCTCACTGGGGGATTCTGGGCGGGGCTCCACCCTGACCACGCCCCCAGTCCCCTCACTGGGGGATTCTAGGCGGGGCTCCACCCTGACCACGCCCCCAGCCCCTCACTGGGGATTCTAGGCAGAGACTCCACCCTTGACCACGCCCCCAGCCCTCACTGGGGGTTCTAGGCGGGGCTCCACCCTGATCACACCCCCAGCCCCTCACTAGGGGATTCTAGGCGGGGCTCCACCCTGACCACGCCCCCAGCCCTCACTGGGGGATTCTAGGCGGGGCTCCACCCTGACCACGCCCCCAGCCCTCACTGGGGGAGTCTAGGTGGGGCTCCACCCTGACCACGCCCCCAGCCCCTCACTGGGGATTCTAGGCAGGAGCTCTGTTGTTGATGTAAGTCACCAAGGCTGGCTTTGATCTCGAAGTTTTCCTGCCTCGACTTCCTTGGTTGCTGTTAAACCTGAGGACAAAACATTTTCACAACTGTCTGATTAAAGCAAGCTGTATTTAGAAGTCCACAAGGGACTAATTGGACAGACGACTGCCTCCCCCTGAGTCGGGGTTTCCGAGAGCAGCCCCTCACCAGCTTTTGAGGTCCTTTTCTGGGGAAGGGTTAGGGTTGATAGAAAACAGCTGTGAGATAACTGGGGGGACCCAGGGATCAAGGCAGATCAGTACAGAACACATCACGCGGAAGGGGAGTTGTCACGGGTGTGCAGGAGTTTGGCAAGGCAGAGGGGTGGGTATACATCCTGGGGTCCCAAGTTCAGCAGAGGTTGAAAAGCATGGTTTCCAGGATACAGGCTTAGGAAACGGACACTTAGGCCTGTAAGGCATGAAGACTAGTAACACGCAGGACGGTGTGGCCCCTGTTCTGATTTCCAGTGCCTGAGATGGTAGGCATGCAGCGCACACCACTTAGTAACAGTGCAGGGCAGTGTGGCCCCTGTTCTGATCTCACCAGTACCTGAGATGGTAGGCATGCAGCGCACACCCTGTGTGCTGGGGTCTTGATGCTGGACATCGAGATGCTGGTCCTTCAGCCTCTTCTGTTTTCTCTTTTCCAGGGCAAGTTTGCATGCACATTCACATACGCTTCCCAGGGAGGGACCAACGAGGTGAGTGGTCGGGGTCTCACGCAGGTGGTGTCGGGGCGTGGCCAGGCTGGCAGGTGCCTCTTGCACTTGTGGGCAGGTTCTTGCCACTCAGCACAGAGAAGAAGGTGCAGACTCAGTGCATTTTCTTTCTTTTTGGTTTTTGGGAAAGACTGACTTATTTTTTGAATGTGCATGGGTATTTTGCCTGCATAGTGTCTATGTACCACGTATGTGCTTATTGCCCATGGAAGCCAGAAGACGGTCACACAGCCCCTGGGCCTGGAGCGACAAACAGTTGGAAGCTTCCATGTGAGCACTGGAAGAGCAGCCAGTGCCCTTAGCCTCGGAGCCACCTCTCTAGCCCCTTGTCGTTTTGAGACAGGCTCACACTGCAGCCCAGAACAAACCAGCCTGCCTGTGTTTTCCAGGCTGACCTCAGACTTTGGGCAATCCCCCTGCCTTCATCCCTCAGGTGCTTGGGTGATAGACTTGAGCCGCCATGCCTGTCAAGATTCTCTTCACTCCACACTACAGTTGTCTAGACAGGGAAGGGGGTGGTTCAGTCCTCCATTCATGGTGCCCCCCACTCAGGATGTCGCCATCAATGGGAGTGGGCTCGATATGTCACAGCTGTGTAGTTCAGAGTCCAGGATGGCCCCCTGTGCTGCGTGAAGGGGTGGTCAGGGCATCCCCACTGCATCCTCTCACTAGGCAGGACTCGTGTCCCTGTCCCTGTGGGGGAGTCCAGTTACCACGGCAGGAGGCTGGTTGCTGTCTGGCTGTGTGCTCGCGGGGGAATGGTGGAAGCCAGTGGGTACTCACGGCTGGACTGGGGCTGCCCACCCCCCCAGCAAGGGCTGCAAGCCACTGAGTTCTCCTCAGTCACGTGAGCAGCCTGAAAGGACCCCGAGCTGCCTTGGCTCACCTCATGGAGCCCGTGACCCCAGTGCCAGTCCTGGTTATTGATCCATGTGTGGTCGGTGAGCCACTGTGGTTCTCACTGGTCAGTTTGTTCAGCTTTTTGGCAGGATCTTATCACGTAGCCTTTGCTCTGCCTGCCTCGGTGTCCTGAGTGCTCAGACAACAGTGTCACTACCTTGGGCAGAGGGACCTTTGTTATCTCAAGGTGCCCAGTGCCTCAGGAGGCTTGCCTGAACAGCCAGCCCAGGACAGTCCTCAGCAGCCTGTGAGCTGGCAAGGGGTCGAACCCCCAGCAAGACCATCCCCCTGCAGTGGAATGCAGAATGGTACAGCCGCATAGGGAGCATTAAGGCCACGGCCATGAAGTCAGATGCCTGCCCACCGTGGGAGCAGCCTGTCCCGCACCCAGACCCGTTTCTCCAGAGGAAATGGTGGTCTCTACGGAACCTTGCACATCAGTGTTCTGAGCAGAGCCTTCCATGGGGCCAGTGAATGGCAGTGACTCCATGTCCTTGGACGGACGTGGGTGCACAACGCAGCATCTTGATGGGCAGGGATACATGCACTCGTGCCCAGTGTTGTGTACGGCTTGGAGAGTGATCGCAGCCTTGCTTGTGGCATGGAATGAGTGGGTTGGGTATGTACATAGCAAGCAGAAGAAAAGAAGAAATGGAGAGACTGTAGATGGCCAAACCTCTTCAGCCAGGTCCTCACGGGCAGCAGAAACCAGCATGCAGTTCCCTCAGAGGCCACAAGGGGGCGTCTGATCCCCAGGACCAGTTATGGATGGTTGTGAGCTGCCATGTGGGTGCTGGAAATGGAATCCAGGTCTTCTGAAAAAGCAGTCAGTGCTCTAACCACTGAGTTGTCTCTGCAGACCTTTAGTCAGTCAGAAACCAGCTGTGGATGCAAGATGGCAGTCAGCTGGAGACCCAAGTAGCGAGCCCCCAAGACAAGTGTCCAGCTTCTTTTCCCCACTGTAGGAAGGGCTTTTAAATACGTAATTTTTTTTTTTTTTTTTTTTTGTTTTTCGAGACAGGGTTTCTCTGTGTAGCTTTGCGCCTTTCCTGGAGCTCACTTGGTAGCCCAGGCTGGCCTCGAACTCACAGAGATCTGCCTGCCTCTGCCTCCCGAGTGCTGGGATTAAAGGCGTGCGCCACCACCGCCCGGCTAAATACGTAATTTTTAAGCATGTGTATATATTTAGTGTGTGGGTGTGGGTGTGTACACATGGGTGTGTTGCCCACTGAGATTTCCTGGAGCTGGAGTGGTTGTGGACCACCATGTGGGTGCTGGGAGCTGGACCCAGGTGTCCTAGTCAGGGTTTCCGTTGCTGCAGTGAACCACTGTGACCGACAGTGAACCACCGTGAACGACAGTGAACCACCGTGAACAACACAGAGTTGGGGAGGAAAGGGGGCATTTGGCTCACACTTCCACAGTGCTATTCCTCACTGAAGGAAGTCAGGACAGGAACTCACACAGGGCAGGGACCTGGAGGCAGGAGCTGATGCAGAGGCCATGGAGGGTGCTGCTTACTGGCTTGCTCCCCATGGCTGGCTCAGCCTGCTTTCTAATAGAACCCAGGACCAGCAGCCCAGGGATGGCACCACCCACAGTGGGCTGGGGCTTCCCCATCAATCACTAATTAAAAAAATGCCTTAAGCCGGGCAGTGGTGGCGCAGGCCTTTAATCCCAGCACTCAGGAGGCAGAGCCAGGCGGATCTCCATGAGTTCGAGGTCAGCCTGGGCTACAGAGATCCAGGAAAGGCACCAAAGCTACACAAAGAAACCCTGTCTTGAAAAAAACAAAAAGAAAAAAGCACCTGCCCTGTAGGCTTGCCTGCAGCCAGGTCTCATGGAGGCGTTTCCTCAGCTGAGGCTCCCTCCTCTCTGGTCACTCCAGCTTGTGTCAGGTTGACCTGACACCAGCCCGGACAGCAGGTCCTCAGGAGAGCGTCTGTTGCGCTCTCAACAGGCTGCAGCAGCTCCGGAGAGTGGTCCTGCTGGGCTGCTGAGGCCTCTGCTGCCAGTTACAGGCGGGGCCAGCCCTCACCCAAGCAAGACCTTGGCGACACAGATCCCACTCCAGAGCCGGCTTCTCGTCGAGCTCACGGAACATGGGGCAGTGACAATTTCAGTTAGAAGGAGCATGGTCCCGACACCCGGTACAGCTGAGCGGGACCTCCAGAACACTGTGCTCAGTGAGAGACCCCGGCCCAGAAGCCACAGTCTGGGACTCCACTGCAGGAAGTGTCCGGGACAGGGGAACCAGAGACAGGAAGTGGGTACTCTGGGGCGGGAGGGAATCAGGGAAGGTTTAGCGTGGGGCTTCCTTTTTCACTGCAGTGTCTGGATGCGTGATGGTAGTGATGGCCGCACTGTGACCAGACCTAGTGTTTTAACGTGAGTGGTCGGGGAAAGAAACATTCCCACTTTATTTTGCCAGCAGTTTAGGGGTTGGCTGTGCCTGAGCTTAAGTGGATATAAGAGGAGCCGATAGCAGACAGGGTGGCAGCACTCCGCAGGCAAGAGGGTCAGGGGTTCGAGGTCATTGTCAGCTTTACAGAGAATTCAAGAACAGCCTGGGCCGCAGGAGACCGACCCTGCTTCTAACAGAACAGCGGTGTGGAGCCTCTGAGCAGCATTTCTCAGATGGGTTGTTGGCAGGGCCCAGAAGCTCCGGAGCAGCCTGGGAGTTCAGGACTAGCCTGACTGTGGGGCCGCAGGAACCACCCAGAACCCGCAGCCTAGCCTTGGCATGAGAGTAGCTGGATCTCACAGCTTAGCTTCCCAGCAAGATGAACCTGAGTGGCTGCAGGGTCCCCCTGTAATTGACATAAACGTGGGGGTCCCGGCAGTGGAGAACCTCCCCGGGAAGCCAGGAGGGGCAGCAATGAGGCCTGCAGGCAGGGCTGGGCTGAGAACTCGTTGGTTGGGTTTTTGTTTTTGTGTTTTAAAATTAGTTATGTTGTGTGTGTGGTGTTTTACATGCATGAATGTCTGTGCACCAGCTGAGTATCTGGTGTGTTGGAGACCAAAAAGGGCATCGGTTCCCTGTAACTGGAGTTACAGATGGCTGTGAGCCACCGTGTGGGTCCTGGGAACAAAAGCTGTGTCCTCTGGAAGAGCAGCCCATGCTCTTAGTTCCGAGCTGTCTCCATCCTGGCTGCTCTGGGTTGTTGTTTGAGACAGGGTCTCATGTTACAGTCCTGGCTGGACTGGAATTTACAACGTAGCCCAGGCTGGCCTCAGACTCAAAGGGATATCTGCCTCCGCCTCCTGAGTGCTGGGAATAAAGGTATGCACCACTGTGCCCACATTGCTTTCGGTTTTTTGAGAGAGCGTCTTTTGTAGCCAAGGCTGACTTCCTATGTAGCTTAGGCTATCTCCCGATTGTCCTGAGTGTTACTATGACAGACGTGCTCCACTGTGCCCTGTTTCTGGGGTTGGAGCCAGGGCCCATGCTGAGACACTGACCCTCAGTCCCCATCCCTTGTCTGCTGTTTAGACAGGGTCTCTCTGTTGCCAAGCTGGGAGCCATTCTCAAGATGTCGTCCCTTAGGGAAGAAAGTGACATGGGCCGTGTCTTGATCCAGGGGACAGTGTCTGGCTCTGCTGTGGGACACACAGCGCGGGAGGGACGGTGCGGTCCTTGCAGAGCGGCTGGTCGCCTGTCCTTGCTCACCAGGCCTGTCTTCTCTCCCCAGCAATGGCAGATGAGCCTGGGCACGAGCGAAGACAGTCAACACTTCACTTGCACCATCTGGAGGTGAGCCGTGGCCACAGAGAGGGGGCACCGGCCTGGGGTGGGGGGCCCTGCGGCCACCACCATGCAGGCATGGCCTGTGGAGAACACCAAAGCCTGGCCAGGGAGGGAGGGAGATGGCAGAGGGCAGGGGTGGGGAGTGGGTCACAGGGCAGGGGTGGGGAGTGGGGTCACAGGGCAGGGGTGGGGAGTGGGGTCACAGGGCAGGGGTGGGGTGGGGAGTGGGGTTACAGGGCAGGGGTGGGGAGTGGGGTTACAGGGCGGGAAGGCACCAGAGTTTTGCAGTTTTAGAAACTGAGGTAGAGTCCTGCCGTCTGGGAGTCCAGTCGGCTGCTGTTCCTCTGTTCACCAGCTCTGGGGCGGCAGAGGCGAGGGGATCAGGAGCTCACGCTAGCCTTGGCCAGGCTGGCTACCCCCATCTTAAAACCTAGTTTTAAGGCAAACCCCAAAAGGTAGCTCTGTCTCCAGGAGCTGTCACCCCCACCCCTTCATCCCGGGCACCGGAAATCCCCACCACGGAGTCTCGCGTCACCAGGCTCCTCCCGGCCCCCTGGACTGGGCCCTCAGCGCTAACTCTGTCTCCCGACAGGCCCCAGGGCAAGTCCTACCTCTACTTCACACAGTTCAAGGCCGAGGTGCGGGGTGCTGAGATCGAGTACGCCATGGCCTACGTGAGTACCAGTCTTAGGGACCCAAGGACGGCAGGGGTCTGCGGGGCCCCAGATAGCGTTCCCGGCAAGGGACTCCGCCACGCTGCTGCCCTGCTGATCCCCAGCTCCCACCTGAGTTGGAGACTCAGCAGAGGCTCACAGTGGGGCCCGTAGCCCATCCCTCCGCATAGACCCGCTTCCCCCCAGGAGGCCAGAGCAGAGGCTGCCCCCCCCCCCCCAGGCCCACACCTGTTCCTCACGTCAGCCGATGAGAGGCTCCCCAAGTGTGCTCTCGGGAGCTGTCCGTCACCTGTGAGCTGACCCCTGCCTGGGATGCACAGCATGCTGGGAACACCGCACACCCGCTCCAGCAAGCGTGCCTGGCCTAGGCCGCAGCGCCCCGAGACCAGACCTAGGGACTGGAGGGACCGACCTCTCGCCCATGTGTGTCTACCAAGTGCCCTGCTCTCTTTTAGTCCAAAGCTGCGTTTGAGAGAGAGAGCGACGTCCCCCTTAAAAACGAGGAATTTGAAGTGTCCAAGACAGCAGGTAGGTGAACATGGGGCCCCGCAGGTGGAAAGCTCGCCAGCACCTGGCAAGAGCCACTGCAGAGTGGCCAAGGGCTCTCAGCATCCCATGAGGCATCCTGTCAGGGCCACCTCTGCTTTTGTCTTGCAGTGTCTCATAGGCCTGGGGCCTTCAAGTCTGAGCTCTCCAAGCTGGTGATCGTGGCCAAGGCGGCACGCTCGGAGCTGTGACTCCCCAGTCCTGGGCTGTGACGTCCCCTCAGGCTCACAGCCCAGTCCGTGTCTGGGACACTGGTTCCCACGGGAGCTGGTGTTGCCCTGCTGACAGCTCACGCTGCGCCCTCTGCTGGACTCTGAGCCCTGTCACCCATCTCAGCAGGGAAGGTGCAGGACATGCTGGGTGGGACCGAGGGCCCTCCTGGCGTCCCTGAAGTCAGGCGTGGGTTCTGCTCTGAGCCACAGATGAGCATCCCTATCCCCGGGACTGTTTCTTACCCCACCCAAGGCATCTCCATTCAAAAGGAGAGGAAGAGACGGAACAAATAAATAAAGACCTAACCACCCCAGCTGGGGCTCTGTGGGGTCAGGACTCAGACTCGACTCCCACCACCTTCCACAGTAGCAGCAGCAGGCACAGGCATGTGCCTTCTCCCACGACTGACGGTCGGTCACACAGGTGCCAGGATGGCGGTCCCAAGGCAGCCAGTGACTTTATACCCACGGAGGACTAGTCACTCTCCCTGAGCCACCACATTGTCCTGAATCCATCCATCCTGCCCCAGCACCAGGATCCCAGGGTGAGGCCACCGTCCCCACAGATTCCAGCTTCAGGTGGGCTTTTGACGTCAGATGGAAGCTAGATGTCTGTAGATGGATTTTGTGCTTGTGTCTGTGAGTCTGTGCCTTTTGTGTGCCCGTGGAGGCCGGAAGGAGGCATCAGATCCCCTGGAGCTGGACTCACGGGTGGTTGGGAGCCGCCTGTGGGTGCTGGGAGTTGAACCTGGGTCCTCTGCAAGAGCAGCCGGTGCTCTGTTGAACCACCTTCACAGCTCCAGTAAGAAATCTTTAAAACCCGAACTCAAAACAACCTGCAGCCAAAGTGACCTACGTGAGCCCGAGTGTCCCAGGCTTTCAGAGGCCCCGCGGCCCCTCAGACCTCTGGCCAAACGTGATGTGAGGGGCCAGGCCTGCCAGGCAGGCCTGTGCCTCACACAGACCTTGGGGTGCCGCAGTTGTTTGGGGAAGTGTCCCGTAGCAAGGGCTAGCCCCTTCCTGCTGTCCCAGGCATCAAGGAGGGGACCTCTGGTGAAGGCAGGAGAAGCTCTGAGTGGGAGGCTAGCCTGGGCTACATAGCGAGTTCCAGAACAGCTAAGACTGCACAGTGGGACCCTGCCTCAATAAAGGGGAACCTAAGGACATCTCATGCCGCGTGTGCCCTGGGAAGGACACAGCCATCAGCGTCCTCTTAGCGGTCTGAGGCTCCGGGACTCCAGTACCTGGGTGTAGGTGGCAGAGTCCTAGCCTCGCGCCCCCAGGTTAGAAAGGACACGGGATACGGTGATGGCTTTGGCTACCTGGCTCCTCCTGCGTGCCTCTGATGGTCCCCAGCTGTCACCAAGGATACAGTGGATAGAACTGGGTGCTGGGACACAGTGGCCCTTTAATATTTAATCTTATATTTCTGGGGGAAGTTTTGTGCTAGGAACGATCCTAATGCCTCAAACACAGGAGGCCAGTGAGGCCAGAGCCATGTCCAGACCCTCCAATCATCTTACGGGAAGCTATAGCCACCAGCCTGTGACGAGCCCAGGGAACTCAGTGGAACCTGGGGGTGTCATCCCTGGGCTGGGCAGGGGAGGGGCCTCTGGCATCTGTGTGGGTTTATTAGTCTGTCCGTGGGGGCCAGAGAGCCGTGGAGCACAGGTGCAGGTCACGGGACTGCTTGTGGGACCTGGCTCTCCTTCCTCCACGCGGCCACCAGCATAGACAGACCGCACGTCAGGCTGCATAGACAGACAGACCGCACGTCAGGCTGCATAGACAGACAGACCGCACGGCAGGCTGCATAGACAGACAGACCGCACGGCAGGCTGCATAGACAGACAGACCGCACGGCAGGCTGC